GAGGGGATGGGTCGGGTCAAGGCCAAACCCAATAAATCCGACGAGCCTAGTTGACCTATCCTACTCCTATTCCACTCTTCTTGAGCCCTCATCCAAGCATGTGGCATCTCTCTTTCCTCATTCAGAAAAATAATAAATAATTTATTATCTTTAACATTGTAAAAAAAGAAGAAACAAAATTCAGCATTTAAAGAAAGAAATTTAAATTTTCAACCTGCCAAAACGAAAATAAATGGCATTTAATAAAATGTGGAAATAGGAAAGCAAGTTCCCTCTTTTTAGGCTCACATGCAGCACTTCCCTTTTTTAGACCCCCTACCCCACCCTGCACAAAAACACCCCCATAGAAGAGTAACGTTTGATTTCTTGTTACTCCAAATCACCCATTTAAAATTTCTCTTGGGTAAAAAAGGAAAAAAAAGGGTAAACATTTTTCCTTTCATTTTTATTTTTAAACCTGTAAATTTTTCTTTCCTATTTTTCTCTCAAGAAAGAGTGATTTTATTCCCTTTTTATGTGAAACAATTTATGTCCCTCCTTTGCTTGACTAGTGGGGTAACCATACTTTTATTTCATTTGATTCTTTTCTTCATTGACAGTTGACAACCTTTCAGTTTTGGGTTTTTGCTTTATCAAGATTCTCTCAGAAATTCCTCACAATTTCCTTATAAAACTCTAGCATTAAAAAAAAAAAGAAGAAAAGTGTTCCCTTTTTAATTTTCAAGACTCTTGCACCACCCCACATGCATGTTTTTGGGGTTTGTCTGATCTGGATCCGATCACCAAGATCTCCCTTTGTTCTTTTTCTATTTGCTAATAAGGGGTTAATTAGTTTGTGGGTTCAGGAGCTAAGGGGTTGTGCCTTTTTTGGCTAACCAATTTTGGGTCTTTTTCTGTGGTTGTACAAGAACAACAACAAGGTGTGTGATTTCTTGACTTTTTTACTCTTGGGTCCCCCCTTAAAGATTCCATACCTTTGTTATTTGTGGTAAAAATTTGTTCTTTTTGTTGGTGAGTATTGTTTTCTTGTTTCAATTGGTGTGATTTTTGAACTTGGTATGAATGATTTTGGGGAAAGACTTTGTTTATTTTCTTGTTTTGTGTAAAGGGTGTCTGGAGATATTAGTACATGTTGTCGTTTAAGTGGTAAAGATTGATTCTTTTAAGGGTATTCTATTAGTGGCAATTTACAGCATTTGTCTGTTGTTTGTATAGTGTTGATTTGGGAGGAGAGGTGTTTGCTTTACTGCTTTGATGATTGTGTTGGGTTTATAGTGTAGCTATAGAGAGTATTCCCTGAGGCATGGCTGGTATTGATGTTTCAAAGTATGCACATAGCCCTGTGCACAAAGCTTTAGTCTTGAAAGATTATGCCTCTCTGAGGAAGATAATTGCTGCCTTGCCGCGGCTTTGTGATCCTGCTGAGATTCATACTGAATCGGTATCACTGGCCGAGGAAGTTAAGGCTGATGCTATTTCTGCAGTGATTGATCGACGTGATGTCCCCAACCGGGATAGCCCTCTTCATTTGGCTGTCAAACTTGGTGATGAGACTGCAACCGAGATGCTTATGCTTGCTGGTGCAGATTGGAGCTTGCAAAATGAACATGGTTGGAGTGCCCTACAGGAGGCAATATGTAATAAGGAAGAAAGGATTGCGAAAATTATAGTTAGGCACTACCAGCCTTTGGCTTGGGCAAAATGGTGTAGAAGGTTACCTCGGTTGATTGGGACAATGAGGAGGATGAGGGATTTTTATATGGAAATAACATTTCACTTTGAGAGCTCTGTTATACCTTTCATTTCTAGGATTGCCCCTTCAGATACATATAAGATTTGGAAGAGGGGTGCAAATTTAAGGGCTGATATGACTTTGGCTGGATTTGATGGGTTCCGAATTCAGCGATCCGATCAGAGCATTCTTTTCCTTGGTGATGGTTCCGAGGATGGTAAAGTCCCTCCTGGATCACTTTGCATGATCTCACATAAAGAAAAGGAAATTATGAATGCTTTAGACGGTGCTGGTGCTCCAGCGACTGAGGCAGAAGTACAGCATGAAGTTGCTGCAATGTCTCAAACGAACATATTCAGGCCTGGGATTGATGTCACTGAAGCAGTTCTTTTGCCACAAACAACATGGAGGCGACAGGAGAAAACGGAGATGGTAGGTTCTTGGAAAGCTAAAGTATATGATATGCATAATGTGGTTGTGAGCATAAAATCAAGGAGGGTGCCTGGAGCTATGACGGATGATGAATTCTTCAATTCTTGCAACGAAAACGAAACGGAGAGTGAAGAGTTTGATGATATTCTAACAGAGGAAGAAAGAAAGCAGCTTGAGATTGCTCTCAAGTTGGACTCTTCCGATGAGAATGGAGATGGTGGGATCATTGCACATCGCCATAGTTGTTATGAACAAAGGGATATTCCCATCGAGGAGATAAATGGTTGCAGGAATGACAACGACAGTAAGCAGGAAAAGAAGAGATGGTTTAACAATTGGAGGAAACGGGATATTAAGCCAGAAGGCGAGAAAAGAGCTGTTCCACCAAGAAGTTCTGTCTGTGTGGATGAGAGGGTCGGCAATCATCTTGAGGGTTCTCCACCTATAAATGAAACTAGGCCGGGGAGGCATTCTGTGGATGTCAGAGCGACGAGGGATGAGTTTAGACTAGGAAGAGATGCAAAGACTTCTACATCTAGCAATGCTGAAAATGGAAATCGGCGCAAAGATGGAGGCCGAGAAAATGAGTATAAGAAAGGATTGAGGCCTGTTCTTTGGCTTTCTCCAGATTTCCCATTAAAAACTGAAGAGCTCCTTCCTTTGCTTGACATTCTGGCCAACAAAGTTAAAGCTATCCGCCGGTTGAGGGAAATGCTCACAACAAAACTTCCAAAAGGAACTTTCCCAGTTAAGGTATGTGTCATGTACTTGCTGTTGAAATTTTGCACTCATGTGATTTTGAATTTTCATTAGGTTTGAATAGTGATATGTTTGTTATGTATAGTCCTTGCTGACACTTATCCATTCTCCATGAGCAAAATAACTAGAGTTTAAAAAACGTTAAATAGTAAATTTTAGCTTTCTTTGTTTCTTTTTGTTATTTTTATCATGCTCTTGAACTAGAAGTTGCTAGTCTGTAATTATGATTTTTCTTATAAGTAGGAAACTGTAAATGTCTTAATGTAGGATTTGTTTTTATACAGTTTGTTGATAAATACTGGTTATTGAACTAAGGCAATATCTGAAAATCTTAATTTTGGGAAGTGAATGTTATTGATTATGAATCATGATAAAGAAATAAAATAGTAGGAATAAAGCTCCACTCATAGTGGAGGTCAACATTAAAGGAAGATTGTATTGGGTTAAGGTGGAGACACCATTGCAAAGAAAGTTCTCTTTTTTTTTTTGGCGGGGCGGATAAGTATCACTCAACAGAGAGTTTAAACTTTTCTTTTGAAGTCAGTGAGCTGTGCACCGTTGAGGTATCTTTTCATGATAATTATCGAAGAGGGTGTGTGATATTGCTCCATTAGTATTTATTTGGATAGTATGGAAGGAGAGATATGAGAGTTTTTGAAAGGAAAGAGTATGACTTTTATATATGAGAAATAGCCTCCTGTTTTTAATGTCTTTTTGGTGCACCTATGAGCTTCTTATTTGTATAGAAGGCTGGGTGTATAAACTAGAGAATCATATCATATCTATCTGTAGATTCTATATGCTTTTTGGTATACCTCTTATATACATGAGTTTTGGTCGTATCCATAAAATTACACTTCAACCTACACTATGAAAAAGCTGTGGCTTTTCCAAGAAAAGAAAGACAACAATTCACAGAGAATGAGGCCTTCTAAACAAAAACCTTTTCAAACAGCATTCACCAGTATGATGAGGTTATAACGCACAAGGTTAGTTCCTCGGGATCCGTTATGTTCCAAAGTGCACTATAGTCAACAATGGATGCAACGTAAACCCTGATACTCATCTGTCATGCTTGAACAAAGTCTAGTGGAATGTAACTACGGAATATATTCAGATTCTAAGGTCAAAATTTATTTTTACGTTGGTGTATGTTGAAGTGAACGTTGGACTACATGCAGATTATTCTAGCCTGTATTTGGAGTGGAACAGATATAGTGGTGGTGGTTGTCCGCTGTTAAGACTCTTCAGCATCAGCCTAAATATTACTTATCTGTCAGTTTATGTATATGTGCATCCATAACCCATAAGTTTGAACTCTCTAGGTACTTATGATTTAGTATTGAAGGAATGGAGCAAAAACTTCCAATACAGACCAATTAAACATAATGTAGAAACAGGATCGCAACACAATAGAACTTTAATTGGCATAAAAGCAGGAGTAAACCTTTGTAAGTTCATGGTGTATCCAACCATTAAACCACAAGTGCGAAACTCTGTGGGTACTCATCATTTAACAGTTAAGGAGTGGAGCAACTGAGTGTAAGATAGGCATCATTGCTGTTAATGTTTTCTATGTCCTATACCTAGAAGGTTGTATATTACATATGCTCTTAACTATAATGAGGGAACAAATAATGTAGTTTCTCTACGAATTAGAACAGACCTGTGACCAATTGCTGTCATAGAAACTTTTTGACCTTGGTGTTCTTTAGACTAGCTAGTTGTGAGTATAACTTACAGTCAGAAATTCTTGAAGATTTGCTTTAGGAATTTTCTATTTCTCGTGCTAGAGACCTCAATTTTGTGACTTTGGACTCCTCTTCTAATGCTGGTCATCTCTTTCCTTCCGATATCTGTTTGACATGAATTGAATACTCTCAGAAGAAAGTACACTAATTGTTAAAGGTCTTAGATATCTGGGTTAAGTTTCACTTTACTGAGAATCCCTTTCTATGTATCAGGTAGCTATTCCGGTTGTTCCAACAATTAGAGTATTGGTGACTTTCACTAAGTTTGAAGAATTACAGCCGCTAGATGAGTTCGAGACTCCTCCTTCCAGCCCTGCTGCTTCAGGGAGGGAGAGTCCAGCAGTGGTGCAGCCATCAAGTTCATCATGGTTTCAGTGGATAAAAGCCCCATATCATCGGCCTACGTCTTCCACAGGCAGTCCAAGTAATAGGATCGAAAACATTCAAGATCCCTTTGCAGTCCCTCAAGATTACACGTGGATATCAGCAGAAGCTAAAAGAAAGAAAATGCAGGAAAAGGAAAAGGCCAAGAAAGGAAAAAGTAGGAAACAGTAGCTGAAGCACTTAAGTTCATATGAGGGAATTTTCTTTTTTTCTTTGGTCAGGGGAGAGGCTGTTACATTCTTCATTAGCTGATCTTGTTTTAGTAATCTTCGATATCTGAGTAAATCATTGTGGGTGGTATAAAAGTTGAAAATCGCTATTCTTGTAATCAATATGGAACAATTGTTTTCATTTCAGGTGGATGTTTCCACAGTAACATGATTTCTATTCTGTTCCTTTGTTGGTCTTGTGATGTTTTTTTAGTTATTACTACTATAGTGTTAGCTAAAAGTTAAATCTGGGGATGTTTTTTCAGTTGTTGTAAAAATCGAAAAACCTTTCTTACCAGAAGAGCCAAAAAGGTTAGGTATGTCATAAAACAATAAAAGAAGAAGAAAGTATTGCAGAGAAAAGTAGAAAGAGAGAATTTTTATTGATTTGGGATGAATTGCAATGGAATAGAACCCTCTATTTATAGAGAGAAAGTGACTTAGCCACCAAGTAACAAACCTTAAGATCTCTCTAAAATATAGACATTCACGTTAAATAGAATTCTATTTATAACACTCCCCCTTGAATGTCTATTCAACAGATAATGTGCCTCGTTAAAACCTGAACTAAAATAAAACCCAGTGGGAAAAAATTCTAGAGAAGGAAAAAGAGTACACATGTTTAGAAATACGCCTTTTGGTTGCTCATTGAAAACCTTGCAAGGAAAACCCAGTGGGACAAAACCTTGTAAAGAAAAAAGAGTACAACGCGTATTTACTCCCCCTGATGAGAGCATCAATTCACATCTTTAAGCATTTGCATTCCAATCTTGTGCACCATCTTCAAAAGATCTCTTGAACGAATTTGTTTCACCTTGAAATCATCATTCCTAATAGATGTATTGTCTTCATATGATCTTGTTGGAATCGTCAGTTCAATATCTTCACATAGAGGTGAAAACTCTTGCTATCATATTATCATGCATATAGTTATAGCAAGATACATTTGTGCACAAATTGCACTGATGAAGTGGTACTTCAAGATCAAGAATTGTATATGCTTCAAGCAACTTAAATCCTTCATGGATTGTCATATAAGTTAAGTCATATAAGCCATATAAATAGACTTTAGATTTGTATCAAGTTTTCATGTCATGCCAGACATATAAGATACATAAAGGTGATAGCACACACCATTGCCTTTTATACTTTTAAGTGTTTGAACTACAGGTCCAAAACTACTTGTCATTCATATGAAACCAAGTTCCACTTGAATTGTTTCGCCAGACTTAAGATCCTCATATATATTTAGCGCTATAATCAATATCGTCGACAAACATTTTATATCGGTTCCAACCTCCTTATTTTTCATAAAGACATAACATAGAGATCTCTTCAATCATATATTTAAATACCTGAATTTTATGAAGTGTTATGTCATGTGATCTTCTAGATCACTTGCCTCCTTTATTATGATCATTTTGATCAAGAAGTTTATTTGAAACCGATTGTCTATACGCTTTAAACATACCATAGACTCTGTCCTTCTAGGACTTAATAAGAGCATTTGCAATGAGAATATAGTTACTTCCTTTGGGTCAGCAAATGCGTCTGATATGATTTGCAATATATTGCAAATGAATTATCCTTTTATGAACTTTAAGTTCATATTATCTTATTCGAGGATCTAAATGTACAAATGATAATTCATTCCACGTAACTTTTTCTCAGCTGTTTATCATGTCCCCCCCTCATGTTAGAAAAACTAACTTGTTTCCTCAACTTTGAGAACCCATCTTTGTACGTTATGGTATTAAATATACCTCGCACATCAATAACAATAAGATGAAATTATTTGGTTCCTGACCCTGAACCACTTGTGAGGGGAGAATGTAATATACTTTGGTATATAACATATATCAAATTGATATAGATAACTTTGTTCTCATAAGCAACTGTTTAGCTATTAAGTGGAGGAACTCAATAAATCATCTTGCGAAACCAATTGTGATGTAAACCAACTTATCAAGATAAACTATCTTGAATAGAAAATCTGAAATTGTACTCTAAATTAAATTATTGAGCAAGTTACCTCGCAAACACCAGGTTGCGGGTTAATAATAATCTCACATGTAACCATCTCATAGATGCATCTTATGTGGTATACATGGCAGGTGAATGAGCCCATATTCACCTTTGATATTTCCAGTATTCGTGGAATTCAATCCCAATTTTAGTTGGTATATTAATTAATGAGAATAGGCAACATAAGAGAATTCTTAAAGAACTTTCTAGTTCTTTAATATTTACCCATGTGAATTCTCTTTTATTTTTGCACATCATACTTAAATTGATATGGGTAAACCAATTATGCCAACTGAATAAATTATCAATATTGATAAACTTCAGATTTACACCATGACTTGTGCAATTATCAATAAACTCCAAGTTTATTATGATATGGGTTTTTATATCAATAATCTTTTTATTGTGGCATTCTTTTATTTGTGTAGTACAAACTGGAGAATAAAGCGGGTAGCTTTTCACATACATATTACCCCGCTACAAGTTGTAGTAATAAAAGATATTAAATCTTTCCTTTATTTATAGTCTCAGCATGACCAACCGCTTTCGCGAATACTTTAGAAACTCAATAAGTTTCTTTGAGACTTACTACAACACAATACCTTATTGGTAATAAATTGTGTTTCTCCAAAATAGTATAATTGGCTCTTGCAGAGTTCTCAATTAATTTTGTACTATCACATATTCATCAACATCCATATGGTGAATATCTCTTTTACGGAGAAAGTTATACCGTTATGGTCATGGTCAAAATTATATGCAAGATATGTTTCTTGCATTATTGTTGTCCTTTAATAATCACATTGCCAAAATATTTTGGCGTACAATAGGTACGTGACAAATGACCATTCATGCCATAATAATGACATTATTTTCTTATATCATTTCAAACCTCCTTTTAGAGGTGAGTGCAGTATATTCACTACCACTAGCACGTCCATATTCTTTGAAGAATGAATATGTATTCATAAATCAGATGTTGTCACATTCACATCATGAATGGACCATAATCATCTATATATGCTTTACAAAATGTCAAATCGATGACAAATATTTTTCACAGAGTGAAAGATTATTTTGAGAATCCTTATTGTTCTCATTACCATAAATGATGACGATTATAATTTCGTCTATTGCCACGTCCATATCCATTGATACATTCGTAGTGATAATTTTGTCTTCTTTCAGAATTATCACATACTGCTATCACATTCTCTTAAGGGAATGAGAATGGAGCAAATTCAATGGGACGGGTTTTCAATTCTTTGCCCACAATCATACATGAATTTGATCATGGCGAGGCATAGAAATTTTACCACTTCAGGTGGTTATAATTTCTTACAAACTCCATTAGAGTTATAATCAAACTTTGTTGTCTTTGCTTGTATTTAAAATCAAAGTATAGAATAAAAGAGAAAAATACGGTAAAATACTTACCTTAAATCCAGAATTTAATTATGAAGGAAGTTCATGGAATAATTGACAATCATTATGCACAATCCCAAAGCTTCTACTCAATTGGTTAGAGTCTCGTGCTGATAACGTGTTATAAAACAATAAAAGAAGAAGAAGAGTATTGCAGAGAAAAGTAGAGAGAGAGAATTCTTATTGATTTGGGATGAAAATGGAATAGAACCCTCTATTTATAGGGAGAAAGTGACTTAGCCACCAAGTAACAAATCCTAAGATCTCTTCAAAATATAGACATTCACCTTAAATAGAATTCTATTTATAACAAGGTAATTCTTTTTCTTTGCCTATTCTTTTTTTTATAAGAGTAACTCTACATTCATTACATGTACTATAAAATAGTCAAAGTTTGGACAAATTGATTCAGACACTATCCTAATGTCCTAAATAACTTCGATATAGAAGAATAAAGAACTCAAGTCTTGAGTGTACCTAGATGAGTTTTTTATGGCTAAAAATATGTATCAAGTTTAGATTTGGTTTGGTTTTTGGATTTTTCTTGAACGCTATTTGTAGGAATGAAAATGATCAAACCATATAATGTGCGGTAAAGCTTCCTTTACAGCGCTATAAAGCGTAAAATTCCTAATTTAAAAGCTCTTCAACTTCAACATTATTTTGGGCCTGACGGTGTTACATTTGGTGTAAAAATTGCACGGAGTGTCCTATTTGGTCGCCCTCATTTAATCGACACCTATATTTTTAAAATTATTTGACCTATACCCTAATTTTAACAATTTCAGACGCCTCCTCTTCTTCCTCCTAATCTATGCGTATCTCTTAGTTCATGGCAAAATGCAAAAATAAAAACCGTCATCTTCGCTCTCCGAGTTTACGTTTCTTGGTAAAAATACTGGCTCACCTCCATATCTTTTATCTCCATACATATATTTCTGAATTGATAAGTCCACATTTGCAAATTCTGAAACTTTTGGCCAGGGCTCTGCAATTGCAAGATAAGCATATTGTGTTTTTTGACCAAGTTTGTTCCTTTTAACCATTCCAGCTTCCAAATTAACTGGTTCCGATGATGAACTTTTAGCTCGTTTCGTCGATTCGCCTGTCTTCAAATTGAGCCTTATTTTGAAGTTTTGTTTTGATAAGGCCACAGTTTAGGCAAAAAAATTCTCAAGTTCAAACTTCAAACATACACAATTAAACTAAAATTTCCCCTTTCTGAAGTTTGCCTGATTTGTCTTTACAAGTCAGATCAACTTCAGGCAAAAATATCTGAAGTTTTGCTTTGATAAGACTACACTTTAGGCAAAAAATTATGAAGTTCAAACTTCAGACATTCACAATTGAACTAAAGTTTGCCCTTGTTAATGAACTAAAGTTTGCGTGATTGCCTTTGCAAGTCAGTCCAAACTTCAGGCAAAAATATCCGAAGTTTTGCTTTGATAAGGCTACACTTCAGGCAAAAAATTCTGAAGTTCAAACTTCAGACATACACTATTGAATTGAAATTTGTCCTTGCTTATGAACTGAAGTTTGCGTGATTGCCTTTTCAAGTCAGGCTAAACTTCAGGCAAAAATATCTTGAAGTTTTGCTTTGATAAGGCTACACTTCAGGCAAAAAATTTTGAAGTTCAAACTTCAGACATAAATTTTTGCTACTTCAGGCTCGTATATCTGAAGTTACCTAAAAAGTGGGTACGCTTGCAATTTTTTTGCAAAGCGGGTATAAGTTA